GGGCATGTGCGCTTGCCAGACAGAGAGAGAGAGACAGGGAGACAGAAAGTGAGAAATCACCCCCCAGGGGGGATGGCCATGCCACAATCCCTTCTCCTCCATTCTCCTCTCGGGATCTTGGGCATGAAAGCATAGGCGCCCAGCATGAGTTTAAGTCGACGCAAACCGCGGTCGACTATGTGGGAGTCCAGCGACATAGCCATTACGCTAACTGCTGGTTCCCCCAGAATTTTCTGTTTTGACCCCATTTCTTTCTGTTAGTATCTCTCAATTTTAGCACTTTTTTTTTCTTTTTAAGAGATTTTTCTCTATAGGGTATGTGAGTTTGCTGAGAGGCAGAGAGACAGAAAGCGAGAAATTACCCCCCTGGGGGAGATGGCCACGCTGCAATCCCTTCTCCTCCGTTCTCCTCTCGGGATCTTGGGCACATATGCACACATGTCTGGTGTGAGTTTTAAGCCGCTTGGTCCGGGACTCGAACTGCAGTTGACTACATGAGAGTCCAGCAATGTAACTATTACACCATCTCCTGGTCTTCAGTACTTCTGACATTTCGGGCTGGATAATTGGAGGCAGGTCCTGTCCTCTGCATTGCAGGAAGTGGGGCAGCACCACAGGGCCCTCCTTAATAGACATGAGTACAGCCCCCAGCTGTGACAACCATAAAGAAATACAGACGTTGCATCTACTCATCCCCCCCCCACCCAATCCATTCTAATTGGTGTATTCCCTTTATTTATTTATTTAAATTTTTTTTGAGAGGTTTTTGATATAGGGCGCGTGTGCTCGCCAGACAGAGACAGACAGAGAGACAGAAAGCAGGAAATCACCCCCCATGGGGGATGGCCACGCCGCAATCCCTTCTCTTCCATTCTCCTCTCAGGATCTGGGGCACGCACGCACACGTGCCTGGCATGAGTTTAAGCCACCGGGTCCAGGACTTGAACCGCGGTCGACTACGAGGGAGTTCAGCGACATAGCCATTATGCTAACTGCTGGTACCTTTAATTTTTAAAGATTTTTGCATATAGTTGCTTCAGATAGAGAGAGACATCACCTCTCGGAGGGGATGGCAACATTGCTATCCCTTGTCCTCCATTCTCCTGGGATTTTAGGCATGCACACACATGCATGGCGTGTTTTTCAAGCAGTCAGTCCTGGAATTTGAACCACTCAGTGGGCCATGTGGGATCCAGCCCCCTAATCACCACGCCACCTACTCACTCTGTTTTTATTTTTTAAAAAATTCTATGGGCCACTGGGGCTGGCAGGTGGCGTGGTGGTTAAAGGTGCTGGACTCCCACATGGCCAAACACGGTTCGAGTCCCAGACCTCGTGGCTCACTTTCTCACTTTCTCTCTCTCTGTGTCCCTCTCTGGTCAAATTGAAATAAACAAATTAATAAATAAATGAATGGAACCAGCAGTTAGTGCAATGGCTATGTGGCTGGACTCCCGTGTAGTTAACTGCGATTTGAGTCCCAGACCTGGTGGCTTAAACTCATGCCGGGCGCGTGTGCGTATGTGTCCAAGATCCCGAGAGGAGAATGGAGGAGAAGGGATTACAGCGTGGCCATCCCCCCTGGGGGGTGATTTCTCGCTTTCTGTCTCTCTGTCTCTCTGTCTGTCTGGCGAGCAAACGCGCCCTATAGCAAAAACCTCTCCAAGAAAAAAAAAAAAGGAATAAAGTTAAATGAAAACATTTAAAAAAATTCTGTGGGTCAGCAGGTGGCATGGCGCTGGACTCCCACATGTCGGGGTTGGAACTCTTGAGATTTTCCCCATTGTTTGGTCACACTGGTATTTGCCAAAGCTCAAAGATGACCTCCCATGCAACGGCATAACACAGACCCCGGAACCACAAATAACGTCACGTCCATTTCGCATATCAATTTGCACCTGCGTTTTAATTTTTTTCCTTTTTGCATATGTGGTTTTTTAAAAAAGAATATTCATTTAATTTTATTTAATTTTTCTTGTTTATAGGGCACATGCACTTATCAGAGAGAGAGATACAGAGAGAAAGAGAGGGGGAAAGTGAAAAAGCAAGCCACCAGGTCTGGGACTTGAACTGTGGTCACCTAAGTGGGAGTGTCCAGCACCTTAATCATGCTATCTACTGGACCCTATATATGTGTGTGCGCGCGCGCGTGTGTGTTGCGAGGGGAAGTTTTTGCTATAGGGCACGTGTGCTTGCCAGAAAGACAGAGAGAGAGAGAAAGCGAGAAATCACCACCCTGGGGGGGTGGCCATGCTGCAGTCGCTTCTCCTCCATTCTCCTCTCGGGATCTTGGGCACGCACACGCGCCCGACGTGAGTTTAAGCCACCGGGTCCGGGATTCGAACACGGATAACTACATGGGAGTCCAGTGACATAGCCATTACACCAACTGCTGGTCCCTATGTTTTTTTTTTAAATTACTTTTCTTTAGTTTTTTGCCAAAGGGCCCATGGCTCACTGGAAAAAGAGAGGGAAAGTGAGAAATCACCCCCAGGGGTGCTGGCCATGCTGCAATCCCTTCTCGTCTCAGGATTTTCGGCATGAATGCACACGTACCTGATGTGATTTTCAAGCCATCGTATCTGGGATTTGAACCACGGTCAGCCATGTGGGAGCCCAGTAATTTAACCACCTGCTGGTCCCTGTGTGTGTCTTCTTTTTTTTTTTCCTTTCAATTTTTAAATTTTTTTTGTCTTGGGTCAGCAGGTGGCATGGAGATTAAGGCACTGGACTCCCACATGGTCGACTGCAGTTCCTAGACCTGGTGGCATGAAACTCATGCTGGGGGCATGTGCGTGCATGCCCCAGAATCTTGAGGGGAGAATGGAGGAGTAGGGATTCTGGCATGGCCATTCCCCTTGGGAGGTCATTTCTTGCTCTCTCTGTCTCTCTGGCGAGTACATGCACCCTATAGCAAAGAAAATCTTTCTTAAAAAAAGATTGTTCTTCTAGCCATGTTTATGCTGTCATTTTTTTTTTTTTGAGAGGGTTTTGCTTCAGGGCGCGTGCACTCACCAGACAGACAGACAGAGACATAGAGACAGAAAGCGAGAAATCACCCTCCAGGGCGGATGGTCACGCAGCAATCCCTTCTCCTCCATTCTCCTCTCGGGATCTTGGGCAAGCACGCACACGCGCCCAGCGTGAGTTTTAAGCCACCGGGTCCAGGATGCGAACCGCGGTCGACTACGTGGGAGTCCAGTGACATAGCCATTATGCTAACTGCTGGTTCCCAATGCTACAATTTTTTAAAACATTTATTTATGTATCTATGTATTTGTTGTGATTTTCAAACTGCTGGGTCCAGGACTCAAACTGTGGTCAACCACATGGGAATCCAGTCCCTTAACCACCACGCCACCTACTGGCCCCTTTAGCCATGTTTCCTCTTGTTGTGCAAAGAAATACAGCCTCCTTTGTCATGAGATGTTAACTCTTTTATTAATTTAGGGTTAACATTGTACTGCTTGGTTGATTTCTTTTTCCGAGGTGTGGACTCAGTAAACCACAGTTGGGGAGGAGTCTCTCCAGCTCACAGGTGACAAAGGTGACCGTATCATAGTCCAAGGAGGGGACAGCGTGGAGGAGGACGAGGTCGAAAAAATTTAAGGCAAATGTTATTCCCATACGAAAGGGAACCGATCAAGCAGACCTGTGCATTTCAATGAAAATATATGAAATATTTGTCAAAATAATTAACGTCGGTAAAAATCAGAACGTATAGCTTATAAAATTGCCTACGCAGGCTTTGTAGAAAGAAACCCAACTGTGTCGCGTAGGTTTTTTGTTTAGGTGTTTTGCCATAGGGCACGTGCACACAAAGGAGAGAAAAAGAGAGAGAGAAAGGGAAAGCGAGAAATCACCCCCCAGGGGGGATGTCCACGCCGCAATCCCTTCTCCTCCATTCTCCTCTCGGGATCCTGGGCATGCACGCACATGCGCCTGGTATAATTTTCAAGCAGCCGGGTCTGGGACTCGAACCACGGTTGGCCATGTGGAATCCAGCGCTTTAGCTACCACACCACCTGCCGGGCCCCTAAATGCATTTGGAAAACACGACCATAAAAGTGAGGAGAGATGGGTGATCAACGATTCACTCTGGGTTTACACTGCCTAAGAGGAATCGTGCCACCCTGATGCCTCCTTTAGACCCGGCCCGGAAGGCTCTGCAGCTTGGCGGAGGTGGTTCTTCAGGGCCCACGTGGCCCCCTAGAGACACAGGCAGAACACAGTGGCAAGGGACTCTTGGTTCATGCAAGGAGGATCCTGCAGAGAAAGGAAGGACCTTCAGCTCCAGCTTTGGCAAGTGACTTTCGGAGCCACCCGCTCCCGCAGTTTCAGAAGCAGCTGACTTAGTAGAAACTGTCACTCCAGCCCCAGGGGGCCGTGTGCTGCCCTAAAGCTTGTTGTATTTTACAGTCTGCTCAGTGGCGGGGGACGGCAGGTGGAAGTGGCCAGGGTTCTGCAGAGGGCCAGCTGAGGTTTGCTACGAAGCCGCACGCAGAAGCCCGGGGAGGGGGGGGGGATTAGCCAAGTGGG